TTTGGTTCACTACAGACCCCACCAGACTTGACTCTTTTATACTTGGCCATTTTACACATATCCCTTTAGGTACTTGAGATTGTAATCCCTGGATAGTTTAGTCAGACTAAACTTATTTCAAAAGAGAGTTACTTGGGCCAAAGATGAAAGGGCTTTATTGGTGAAGATGAGGAAATTAGAAAAAGAACGCAAGACATAAATAACCCAAGAAGAAAGAGAAGAGATAAGGGAGGTGGAGGAAAATCAAAACTAAGACCAAGAACCAGGCACTTAGAAGAATGTGACTAAAGGGGAAAAAGAGAACAGATCCCTAGAGACAAAATTTCTTCCCGTAGGGGAGTAAGCGCAGGCTTCTGGAAAAGGGGCAGAATCTCATGGAGGACAGAGTGACTTGGGATTGTTAATAGAAGCACACACACAAACACACACACACACATACTGCTACTGAGTCAAGGAAAAGCCAGACTTCACAAACCAGACTCCCATCACATACTTGTGTAACTTGAGTGAAGTGCAAAGGGGCAAACATATGGAACAAACGAATAGAAAGTCTTACATGAAATAATAAAGTTACTGGGACAGCTCTGACTTACTGTAGACCCTCGCTGGTATTTGCTAATAAATGAATCACATGGAGGGGATGGTAATCTCCCTGAGGGCAGAGACTGAACTTTGTACATCTTTGTTTTCCTCAGGTCTAATATAGAACCTGGTACATAGCGGATGCTTAGCGACTGTGGCTTGAATAAATAAGAAATGAATGAACAGTGAAAGAAAATAGCATGAGGTTTAGCTTTCTCAGAATTCATTCAATAAATATTTGTCAGAAGTTTATTAAAATCGAACTGTGAGCAGAGTCTCTGAGTGTTAAATGCGCTCAGCCGCTGACCCAACTGTTGGAGGTTCAGATCCACCCAGAGGCACCTCAGAAGAAAGGCCTTGTGATCTACTTCTGAAAAATCACCCATTGGAAACCCTGTGGAGCACGGTTCTCCTGTGACACATAGGGTCGCCATAGTCGGAGTCAACTCAATGGCAACTGATTTTCTTTCTTTCCTTTTTTTTTTTTTTTTAACTACTCTGGGCTAGACATTGAATAGAGCAAATAAGAGATTAATTAGACACAGTTCTTACCCTCAGGTTATTCATAATCTAATCAGATATACACATATATTGTAACCATTCTAATAATAGGTAAAATGTATGAGCGCTATGATGGAAGAAGTATAAATAACTTGCTATGGGAGTGATAAGGAAGGATGCACTTGTCACCAGGAATGAATCAGAAAGAATAATCAGTTACTACTTCAGAGGCAGGCCTGGGATCTTTTTCTTTTCTTTCTTTTGTTTCAATTTCCTTTGAATATATCTCACTTCTGCATGTTTCAGGCCCCAAAATCTAACTTTCTCTATGGAACATAACTCCCTGAGATATCAGAAAATGTTTTGTGAGGGGCATGTCCGCTAATGCAGCCAAATGCAGACAATCGTACTTATTTAGGGTTTTGTTGTTGTTATTGTATTCATGAGAGGAATTGCCTCTCTCTGTCCTATAGGCCTTTGATTCCGGAGTCATAGACGTGCAGTCACAGCCCACAGTTAGGGAAGAGAAATCAGCTACCAACCCGGCAGCAAAACTCTTGCTTCTGGATGAACTCATGTCCCTGGAGAACGACGTGATTGAGACAAAGAAGAAAAGGAGCTTCTCTGGTTTCGGGTCTCCTCTGGACAGACTCTCAGCTGGCTCTGTACATCATAAAGGTAAAAAGAGGTAAGTGAGCTCCTGAAGGACACTTTTCAGTTTCTAATTCTTCCACTCTGAGTTTAGAAGCAGAGAATTCCACATAAAAAAAAAGTACAGTGAAAATACTGTAAGTAGTCAGACTTGACAGTGTGTTAGATAACTTGTAGGACTTATATTTAGGATTTTGGAAACAACTGCTTAGGGAATAAAATTACTGCTATGACATGCATTCATGTTTTTGTCATAATGCTTCTGGAGGAAGGTCTTGTTGCATGCAGATATAAAATAGTTATTATAAGACATTACTGCAGTTGGAAGGTGAGGGGCAGAGTGTGTACAGTGGGATAAATGTCCCGCTCAATTGAGTTTTCTATTTAGCAGAAGGAACCAGGTACCATTTTTATTTTTATCCTGGATAGAAAGCTTTTCAAAATATGTGAATGTATCTGCTTTCCTACACCAAGAAGCGATGAGGAAAGAGCTCTCAGAACTTGGAGAGACAACGCATGTGTTTGAGTCAAATCCTGCTGATGTTTAGCCATGTGTTTTGTACAAGTATTCATCCTCTATGACCCTCACCTTTTTTTTAATATGTAAAATGGGAATAATAATTACCTCAGTGAAAAGAAAATGAGATATCCAAGTGAAAGTGTTTCATAAGGTGTTAATTATTATAACAGATGTGGAGTAATTACATCTCCCTTGAGTCATTGAGTGTCTATCAATTCTCTAAATCAGTCGTTCAAACTAGATTCATTTTCTACTCCCTCAACATCTGTTCTTCATGCTATAAATTTCCTATCAGTAGTGGCCCAAGAGATCACCCAGTTACCAAAGATAGAAGACTGGGAATTTGCTAGGATTCCTTTCCTCACCCTGAACATCCCATTTTTCACTAGATTCTCTAAATCCCATCTGTTCTATATCTTACATAGCTCCAGAATATGCCCCCCTTTAAGGCTTTCCGAATTCTGGCCTAAAGGGTTATCTTTTTCACATTTTCCCTTTCTTCAGTCTTTGCTCATCTCCACATCCACCACCACAACCAACCCTTTGTAAGCAGTATATCCTTTATGCTGCCACACGGGTGATCATCTGAAACAAAATTCTTTGTATGGAATGTGACCCCTTGCTTACAAAATAAAATTCAAACAAATCCTTAGCAAATCCTTCAAAGAATTTCATGATCTGGCATATCATTTCTTCTTGTACTTGTCTTCACATCCTTGGGTCTTACCTGCTTACTTGAAATAACACCTGTAATGTTTGTTCATGATTCTATGACTTCACTGTACTCAACTGTTCTCAGAATAAAGGATGCAATTTGCTAGACCTCTATATATACACACACATAATATACATATTGTGTGCTTGTGTGTGCGTATCTCAAGCATTCAAAAGTAGCTTAGCTTGCAAGAAATAAAGATAAATTTGAATATACCTTGTTTTGCTCTGGAAACATCTAAATATTTTATGTAGTGATATAACAAAAATAAATATTAAAATGTGATACCTAAATACTAAAAAAGAACTAAAACAAAATAAATTAAATATATATCCCAGTTGATGACATTACTGAAGAGATTGTCCTAGTGTCAAAATAATTTGACTGTACATCCTTAGTAAAATACATAAGACAAAAGATCTGAAAGAAAAAAGATGTAAAGCCATTTTCCGAAATCATATTGCTGGTGGTACTGTTGATATTGTTTTGCTGAGACTGTTGAGTGTATATTGTGGGATAAAGGAAATAAGTGATTATTTGATATTCCAGTTCTGTCTTTCCTGGTGCTAAAAAGAACTGGGATTCACAACATGGATAAAAATGAGATAAAGATGTAACTTGAACATGTCAAATTAAATAAAAAGCTCTGGTCCTTAAATATTTAGAAAAATTTTTTTTAATTTCCAAAATGTCCATAAAATATTCATATTAACATGAATTTATGTTTCTGAGTTAATGAATTCAATGATGAATTCATGATTCACTCTGTGCACTGAAAATTCCTCAAAACAATCACCAGTCCAGAAGCAATGAGCAATCTTTGTGCCCAGATTGCCATTGCTTAATACCATTTCCCACTTGAAGGAACTAGAGCTCCTCAGAAAAAAAATACTGGAGCAGAATATGTTCAAAATGAGCTAGAGCATCTTCTCATACCTGAGAGCAAAGAAACTTAATTTTACTAAGTTCAGGTCAAAAGGACCCAAGAGCCAATTTGAAGAAGTTCTCATAGCCCAAAGTAAGATACTGAGAATCAACAGGCACGTGGTTATTGCCGTTAGTTGCCATCCAGTTGACTTCAACTCATGGTGACTTTATGTATAGCAGAATGAAACATTGCCTGGTCCTGCACCATCTTCATGACCATTGGTATGTTAGAGTCCACTGTTGTGGCTATTGTGTCGATCCATCTCAATGAGGGTTTCCCTTGTTTTCTTTGGCTGTCTACTTTACCAAACATGATGTCCTTTTCTAGTGATTTGTCTTTCCTGATGATGTGTCCAAAGTAAGTGGGATGAAGTCTAACCATCCTCGCTTGTAAGAAATATTCTGATTGTTTTTCTTCTAAGATTGATTTGTTCATTCTTCTGGCAGTCAATGGTATATTCAATGTTCTTTGCAACACCACAGTTTGAACATGTCAATTCTTCTGTCTTTTTTTTTTTTTCATTATCCAACTTGTGTACACATATGAGGTGACTGAAAAGACTATGGCTTGGGTCAGCTGTACCTTAGTCATTGAACAACATTAACTACAATGCATTGAAAATGCTCAGATCTATGAATTAATAATGAAATCTTAAAGATTAATTGGTCACCTTTGGAGAATGCTATTTATGAGTTCATTGTTTTAAAAACTTGTAAATAAAGAGAACTTAAAGACTTTCTTACATGAACTGCACCACCGAGTAACAGTAGATGAGGAGAAAGTTTCTCCTTATAGCATTTTTACAGATAAAGCAACGAATAAGAAATGATAGTAGGTGAGACAAAGCTCACTTTATAGAATTATTCCAGTTAATAAGTTAAGAAGGAATGATAGAACTAGAATGTCTCTATTATGCAAACCTTAAAGAAAATATGAATCTATGCAATGATCATCAATGGCTGCTAGCATCACAAGAGTTTAAAACAGCTACTCATTGTATATCTCCTTATGGAAGAACACAACACTACCTACAATGTAGTCTTGCAATAATGATTGGATTCCATCAAGTTTAAAAAAATATCGAAGACAGAAAAATGGCTTCAGAGAATCTACGGTGATGTAAACAGCAAATCCAGGCTGTGGGAAACTAAGACAAATAACTCAGTAACTCCAATAAATAAATCAAAGAATTTGAAAAAAAAATTTTTTTGAAGATAGAAAGAGAAGGAGATTCTAAAGATTAAAATAGCCTTAAAACTTATTAACCAATCAGAGTGTTTTTTGAGTTCTGAGTCATACAAAAATCTATAACATAAGAAATGGTTAGGAATGTGAATGGTGACTAACAATTTGATGATATTAAGTAAGTATTGTTTACTTTTAAGTACAGAAATGGTTCTGTGGTTATGTTAAAAATGAGAGAGACCTCATTTTAATATTTAAATATGAAATAACTTATCTTGGATTTGCTTCAAAATGATACAAGAGTGGAAGGTGGTACAGATAAAACATTTGTCATAAGTAGATAAGTGTTGACTTTGAGTTATGGGTACGTAGGAGTTTATTTTACTATTGTATCTTGCATATGTTTGAAATTTTCCATAATATTTTGTTTTAAAAACTAAATAATAAGATAAACAGCAGATTAGACCGAGAAGAAAACTAAAATTTATGGTAAGATAAGGCTCAGGAAATGACTCAGAATATATCACAAAAATGTGAAGAATAGAATGAGAAATTGTAACGCACAATTTAAGAGTTTAGTAGGAAGAGAGAAAAAAAAGAATCACTATTTGAAGAGAGTATGGGTATCTTACTAATAATTTTTCAGAAATGATGAAAATAATTATTTCTTAAATTCAGGAATAACAGTAAATTTTGACCCAAGTAACTGGCACTGCTTTTGACAGGATAAGTGGATTAAGAGGAATGATTCTGTTAATAGGAAATTGTGTAAGAGATGACTTATAGTTTTGAATATTTAGGACATGTTCTTGAAAGAGCTGAGTGGCAAGATGTGGATCCAATATCCGGTACTAAGAAGCAGGATAAGAAATGAAATTGGCAAGGAGAGTTGAGGGCTGACAGAGATCCATATTGTACAATCATTCATATTGTTGCCCTCTGGACTTGTGCAGTGCAAAACCCATGCAACCTTAGTATCCCTGGAGCCAGATTGTGAAGGTCCTATGTTGTGCAAAGCAGAAAAGATTTTAGTAGACAAGTCGATGACTTTCCACCACCATCAGTTGCCCTCAAGTCAATTCTGACTCATGGCAACCCCAGGTGTGTCAGAGTAGAACTGTGACCTTACCAAAAAACCAAACTCGTTGCTGTCGAGTCGACTCCAACTCATAGCGACCCTATTAGGACAGAGTAGAACTGCCCCATAGGGCTTCCAAGGAGCAGCTGGTGGATTCGAACTGCCAACGTTTTGGTTAGCAGCCATAGAGCTCTTAACCACTGCGCCACCAGGGGGAGGTCAAAAATGATCTTTCATTCCTTTTTCCTCTACCTTTACCTTCACATCCAATTACTTACAGGAGGTTAGCAAATTAAGGAGAGTTTATGCATTTGCACAGAAGTTCACTCATCATCAGAATATTTTAAAAACTTTATTTGTAATAAAATAACTACACGTTTCTTTATTTCGACAAAAAATAACCAGATGAAGTGGCAGATATGAAAACAATGATAATTTCAAGTAGTGGTGAACATAAAAACCATTCCCGAGTGAAACTGAGGATTTTTCCTAATCCAGACTCTTTCATCTTGTTTCATGGCTGCAATTAGAATACAGAGACTCTGCTCTTTTGTTCTCGAAGATTTAACAGCAAAGGTGACCTCCAATGTCAGGATTGCTTTATCTTGTAT